TCTCATATTGATATACAGTTTTGTTATTGCTCTTCTTTTGATTCATCTTTTGCGTTGTCATTGTCTTTTTCCTTTATCTTGTTTTCTCAAAAATGAATCATTGGTTTTTAATTCGTATAGAGTGTAACCACTAACCAAACCAATTTGAAACCGAAATTGGTAATACGTCTGTGCCGCACAATTTTAGTGTTAGAAACGATTAAGATTTGGTTTTCCATCAAGCTTATATAAAAGAGAAATTGTTAATAATGTCCTGTTTCACACACCCTTTTTTAAAATTGCCCTTTTTTGCTTACCATTTTTAAAAATGCCCCTTAATTATTTCTAATATGACTAAATTACCCTTCCTTTCATAACCTAAGAACTATCGGTTCCCTCATCTCTTCTCTCTCTCTCGCTCTCTCACGTTGATCGGCGAGTATTCCGATTTCAAATCTCGATTCCGTTTTCAAATCTCGATTCCGATTACAGATCTCGATCTCGCTCTCATTTCAGATCTCTTATCTCTGTTCCGATTTCGCTTTTCCTTCTGTTTTCGAGTCCCATATCGATTCCAGGTTAGATTCCTCTTCTGTCCCCTTTTCGTTCAGTTTTCGAGTCCCACATCGATTCCAGGTTAGATTCTTTGTAAGGTTTGTCTTTAGAGGTTAGATTCTGTGGTTATGTGGTTCTGTTTTGAAATGTTTGTCTTTTACAGGTTAGATTATGTGATTCTGTGAAAGGTTTTTCTTTTAGAAGCTTTTTTGATATCATTTTCGACTATTAATGATTGATTTTACTGCTTGATTTTGAATTCTGGATTTTACAACATTTTTTAAAGGTCTTATATGCTTTTTAAAGGTTTGTTTCTCTTAAACTTTTTTGCTTTTGTTTTTACTGGATATGGTTTTATACTTTTAATGCTTGGTTTTTAAGCAGATATCTAACAATGACCCATTGGATTTTACAACGTATTTTAAAGGTTTTACATGCTTTTTAAAGGTTTGTTTTTTACTGTTAATGATTTTAGTGCTTCAACTTTGTGTATATCATCTCTGATTTATTCAACTTCTGGATTTTATAATGTGTTTTAAAGGTTTACATGTTTTTTTAAAGGTTTGTTTTTACTGTTAATGATTTTAGTGCTTCAACTTTGTGTATATCATCTCTGATTTATTCCACTTCAAACGTTTGGTTCCATGACAAATGGCACAGACTCTCAGCTAGCATAGGTCCTTGCAGGTTGAAGCAAAACACCTCAAGACCAGCATCCTCGATGTAGTCAATCACGTAAAGTCGCTGCAGTTTGGGCATTGCTAAGAAGCTTGACCAGATGAATCAAACATGTCCAAACTCTCCTAACTCGTCTTCTGATACGATTCCATTAGTTGGAAAAGAAGAAAATTTGATGATGATTTTGTTACATGTTGTTATGTACCAAAAAGTTTTTACTCAACTTTTATGTGTCTTTTGTAAGTTTGTAACTTAAGAAAATTCCATGTAACACTATTGATTGTTATATTTAGTGCTTTAATTGTTAAAGTGATTGCTATTATTATACAAGTGACTCAATGTGGCTCAATACATGTGATTTGATGAAATAGTGAAGTTAATTTTACAATGTATTTTAAAGGTTTTACAATGTATTTTAAAGGTTTTACAATGTGTTTTAAAGGTTTTACAATGTATTTTTAAAGGTTTTACAATGTATTTTTAAGGTTTTACAATGTGTTTTAAAAAGTTTTACAATGTATTTTAAAGGTTTTACAATGTATTTTAAAGGTTTTACAATGTATTTTAAAGGTTTTACAATGTATTATAAAGGTTTTATAAAGGTTTTACAATGTATTTTAAAGGTTTTACAATGTGTTTTAAAAGATTTTACTAGATATTTTAAAGATTTTACAAGGTGTTTTAATGATTTTACAAAGTATTTATACGGTATAAGATGAGTTATAAAACTTTGAAAATATTTTATAAAGGTTTTATAAGGGTTTTAAAATTTAAAGATTTTACAAGATATTTTAAAGGTATTTGAAAGGTTTACAAGGTATTTTAAAAGGGTTTACAACATGTATTTTAAAGGTTCGACAACATATATTTTAAAGGTTTTACAAGGTATTTTAAAGGTTTTAAAAGGTTTTACAAAGTATTTTAAAGGTTACGTGAATTTTAAAGGTTTTACAAGGTATTTTAAAGGTTTGACAACATGTATTTTAAAGACTTTACAAAGTATTTTAAAGGTTATACAACGTGGATTTAAAAGAGTTTACAATATATTTTAGATCACATCCACAACACAAATCACAATCGTTATTCTAAAGTTCTTAAGAACACAAATCAGAAACACCAAAACCACATAAAACTCAAACTAATCAATATAACATCAAGTCTTAAGATCTTCTCCAGTCTTAAAATTTTACACAGGTACCCATTAGGCCATTATGCAAGAAGCCTTTCTTCTCCGGGAAACAAAAAATGTAATCCACTGCACATAAACAATAATCTAATCCCATGATTCATCACTCTGCAGCAAAAACAACAATCGATTTTGAAATCACAACTGACAAAACTTAAACTGTGAAATAAAACTTAAACCGAAGAAGAAGAGATTAAAGAGGATTTTTGTGTGATTACAGAAAGTTGAGAAACCAGATCGAGGAGATTACACAGTTAGACCAATTCTTAATCCTATTCTCCACCAAATCGAGAAAATAGATAAACACATAAGTGAATCTCTTAAAAATCAATTGATGGACTAACTCAATTCAGATATGTGAAAGAGGTAATGACAGATTGAGACAGACTCGGATCTTGGACTGCGGATACAAATCGATGACCAAATCGACTACGACGACGACGATAGATGAAGGATATCCTCGCCGATTTAACTCCCGGCGAAGCTCTGGTCGGCAAAGATGAAGATTCTCGACAGATTGAAGATGAGGTTTTGGTCTCGTCGGTGGTGTGGTGACAGGAGACGGCGTGAATATCAAGCACATGGCATCGTCCGACGACGGTGAAGATGACAGGAGATTGACCTTTTGTTCGTCGGCGGTGAAGGTGATGAGAGCCGCCGAGATTTTTGGTTCGTCGTTCCCCAATTTTGTCTTGGTCAATTTGGTTCCTCAATAGGTCAAACCCTCATTAAGGGTAAAATGGTCAATTTCAGGGAAGCTATTAAGGAGGGGACATTTTTGAAAAGGGGTATTGAAAAAGGGGCATTTTTGTGAGTCTCCCTATATAAAAATAAAATTTCCAATTTATGGTAAAAGTAAATATTTATGTACCAATTTTCTCATTATATCCGAAGAAACAAAAAAAAAAAAGTTATGAGTAAATTCATAGTAAGATTTCAAACGCCTGGACGAAGTAAAATCTTCAACCTCCTCCACTCCACCATAGCTTCACCCACCCAATTTAGAACAAGTAGAACTCAAATATTATTCTCTTTGCCAAAGTTGACATTTACATTTCAATGTACATATACGAGATTAAATCATAGGTCTACAAATCCGATATATGTACCAATGTACATTTAACACTAGAGGATGATATATGTGACATGTAATACTAATATAATATACTGTTTTTTTTTTTTTTGATAACTCAGATGATCTTAACACTAATAACATATATAATATGATCCAAAATGTAAACATAAATAAATCGAGAGGACATCTTTTGATAATGTATCACTTTAGAAAAAAGCAAAATTGTGGAGCCACTCTAATTGCTGCTACGAAAAATATGCTTTTAATGGATGCACTCATACCTGTCATGTGTGAGACATTTGGTACCATCATTACCAGCTTCACCATCAAATCTTTATCACTCTTTGTTTGATTATAAGTTTTTACTAAAAAAAAATATTCATGTGACACAAAAAAAAATTATAGACCACGCTAATTATTTTAAGAGATGATGATCACAGATTAAGACTGAATTGTCATCGATTTTAAATTTTATTGCAAACTTGTCGCTAGGTTGTTCCAAATTATTTACTACAATTGATTACCGATTAAACCATGTTTTAACTTTTAAGTAACGTTAAAGTTAATTTTTCCTTGACGGTGCAAGACAATAATTTGATGAAAACATAAAAGGGGGCTTGACTAGTCAGTCTTGCAAATGTAATTAATGGTTTTTTCACATCATTCTTGGATGGGATCGAGACTTCACCTAAATGCATTTAAGTATTTAAGCAATCTACCAAACAAAACCTTCTTTGATTTGCCCATTTCGACCACTACTTTGTTGTTTTGTACTAGGTAACAAGGATTATGCTACTTGTGGGATTTGATTTTTAATACTTTTATTATGACAAAGTTAAGTAATTAAATAGATCCTAACATATATGAAATACTAGTAATAGAAAAAAATTATAGCCTTTTGAGATTGTCAAAATCGTTCTACCAAACACAATGAAAAAAGATCAACCTTCCAACTGAACTAACAACACAAGAAAGTAGGAAACAGTTTGATAACATTCTCGATAGTAGCATCAATTATAGTATAAGATTAAAGTTAATTTCTTCCCCTACTATTGCCGACACTATATTTATATATATGTCTTGGTGAATTTATAGCTGACCCAACATTTTATCTTTCAAATTTATAAATTTTATAGAGCATTGCCACTACCTTTAGATTTCGATATAGAATCATAACCATTGGAACAAAAACTTCAGACCAAATTTATGACATCAACAATACCATCATAGTTAGTTAGTTACTGTTTGTTTCTTTTCAAATCGACTAGTATTATATTGAGTTGAGAATGGTTGTAGCAAAAGTGCAAAACTAATTTAACCTAGATTTTTTAAGATATAATTATATTGTTATTTTATTTTATTTTATTTATTTACAAATGGCAATTATGCAGTTGATGTCTAAACAAACTTTCCAATTAAACAAGAGACTTCAGAAACCTGTCTCATGACGTTGTAATAATAATATTGCAAAATCAAGAAACAACATAATTCACTAAAAATAAAGTAAGTAAAAGAAAGAGAGAAAGAAAGAAAGAGATAGTGGCTCAAGTCTCAAACTCAATCAAAAGCACCAACCAAAGTTACCAAACTTCTCACCACAAAGAGAGAAGAAGAAGAAGAAAGAAACAGAGAACCGCCATGGCAGAGAAAGAGAAGAAAACCAAAAAGAAGAAGAAGAAAGAGAAGCATCAATCTTCCGACATCTCTTTCAAACCAACCTCCGACGTAAAAGGTCTCAAATTCGGTGGCCAAATAATCGTCAAATCATTCACAATCCGACGAGCAAGAACACTCGAGCTTCTAAAACTTCTCTCTCTCCCTTCTTCATCATCACCACCGCTTCTTTCCACGGCGGCGTATCTTCCAACAAACTTCACAATCCTTGCACACCACGCATGGCATACACTAACACTCGGTCTCGGAACAAGAAAATCCAAAGTTGTAGTGTTCGTGTTCGAAACAGAGGCGATGAAATCATCCGTTTGTGGCGGCGGAAGGAGGAATCTGGCCACCGGAGATTCCATTGGGAGATGTGAACAAGAAGATGATCAGAAAGTTAAAGAACTGGGAGATGGCTAGGTTTAAGTTCAGAAAGGTTGTATAACGTTTTATGTTTACGCCGTGAGAAACGCCGGAAATGAAGGGTTCGCGGCGGCGGAGGACTTAAAGGTAATATTAACAAGCGGTGGTGGCATTGAAAGATTTCATGGATCACACCGCAATGCTTGTAATGCCCCACCAGAAAAGTATTAATTACAACTCTTGTCCTCCTTTTGCCATGGCTCACTAAACTTTGAACAATAATATTCACAAGTGGCCTCTTCTTCTTTTTTTTCTTTTTTTCACTCCTTTTTTTTTCAATTGATATATAGAAGAAAAAAATTCGGATTATTATTTATTTTTGGTTCCATAATGGGGTGTTTGTTATTAATTTCCTGTATTTTTTTCTTTTTTTGGGTTGAAGATTGTGGTATGAATAAGAATAGGTTGGGTTTGTTCGTGCACTTCATCGGGTCGTGATCAGAAGCTGAATCTCACTTAGAATTCTTAAGTAAATCTAAAAAAAGAACACAAAATGTTTATGATCGGTCGATCTTAAAATGTGGAAGAATTGGAAGATTGGAGAAATATGTGTGAAAATATTACATTTCATTAGTTAGCCATTTGTTAGTACATTTGATTTCTTGTTTTTTTTTCTACCATTTCACATGTATTTTTTTTTTGTCAATAAGACTTTTCTTTAGATCCTATAAAACCATAATTTTAGTATCTGTTATGATTTTCAGATGTTCTATGTAGTTGTGATGTCTCTGCACATTACAATCTGGTATGGGTATAGTTATCAATAGTAAGTTCATTACATGTTTACTTTTAGCTGGTGTCTCTCAAATATGATTTGAATGAGACAAGAATTTACTACAGTATTTCATATATTTGACTAACAAATATAACAATGCTGTGCTAACCTTGTCAATGTCAAAACATGTTAACAATGTAAAGTCATAGTTGTCCAATGATACTATACTACTACTACACATTGTCATATTACATAGTCTTTTTAAACGTTTGTTGGGTGTATATTATACCAAAGTATGATTGGCCGAGAATCGGCATTTAGAAAATCTCAACTCATGCCTAATTCATGGCCTAGAAAGACATAATTATCTTGTAGATAAGATTATGTTTCTAACTTTACTTTGCTTTATAGGTTGATGGACCATCTGTATCCAACATAAAGATCACAAGTCACAAAAATCAATGTTTTCAAGCGTAACGCTGAAGCCAAATTTTATGAGAAGTTCCACTTTATTTGTTTTAAATAAAAGGAGTTAACGGAAAAAGATTAACAAAGAACCCTTAAAAATTAGAATAATCCGAATAATCTGATGATCTCTCAATCCAAAGTTCCTCAGAACCATTATGTTAGGATTTTCCAGATAATGCTACTACATAGACATTGACAATCTCTTAGTACTTACACGCACCATTGCTTGGGTGTTCCCTACGACCATACCAGTTTCCACTGAAATTACAAGCACCGTCAGTGCGGCCGTGGCTCTGGAATAAGCGTTCATAACAAAAGATGCGTGCGTCCTCAAACTGCTCGGGTTAAGCATGAACCACCAGCTTGGATCGGTTTACAATCAATGCCCTGACCACACACCCAATTAATGTTGTCTTGCAGCTGCGCATTCGTTGCAGCCGACCTCGCTACAACACCATTTACCGCCGGCAGTACTAGGTGCGGGCAATGCTGGACGGCCTCCACCGCCTTGTCCGTTTCGGAGAAGACCAACATCGTAAACCGGGGAGAAATCTGCTCGGAAAAGTCCCCAGTTACGCTCTGCGGTCGGACGGGTTTGCCTTCTTCGTTGAAGAGACCGAAAATGTAAGTCTCAAACCTTCTTTTAGGCATGAGAGGTGTTCCCTTGGCCTTGTGCACGTTTGATAATGTTGAGGTTGAACCAAGCAGCATTCGCAGGCGAACACCAAGGTGCATCACAAGCAGAAGGCCAGCCCGTCTCACCAACGACAATGTTAACATCACCGTATCCAAGAGCTTTCATGGCGGAATAAGTCGAGTCCATGAGTGCATCGAACATGTTGGTGTAGACATGGCGGGTGAACGGGTCACGGACCGCCTTGTACGGTGTACGGAAAATGGCGAAGTTTGACATTTTTGGGGTCAAACCAAAGTAAGGGTACGGGTTAACCATGAAAGGAGACTTGGTGCGGCGATGGTAAGCTAGGATTGGAGCCAATATGCCCTTGTCCCAACCCGGCCTGAATCTACCGCTGCTAGGTGCACCGGTCAGGTCATAGGCTATGATGTTAAGTGAGTGTGCGGTTGTAACCTGAGATCAGTTGCAACAAATAGTACTATTAGAATCAATTGTTACCTACCAATCTAAAACAAATTACATAAGATAATCATGTTGGTCTAAATTTCCTATAAAATTGGTACATTATTTCATTTTCCTAGGATCACATATATCATGATGTAATAAAAGAAACAGAAGTCATGGCAGACACATCACGAATCTAAGGACAACCTTGGACGGTGAGATAAGCACGTGGGATAGTCTAAATGGTCAGATCTTAATACATAGTATCAACATCGCTAAGACCATAATTATCGGAAAATCATCTTAATGGTGTGCTTAGAATAAAAAAAAAATAAAAAAAACCCAAACCCAAGAACAGGGCCAGGAACAGGCCAGGAACAGGTCTTGAGCAAGAACTAAACCTAAGAACTAAACGCACTATTCCCATTATTTCTTAATTTTAAATTACTAAGATCACTCCAACTGTTTTGGCGTTGCATATGCCCTAACACTTTCCTTTGAAATTCGTATGGAACGTTTGCGTGAAATTTTGGATTTAAATTTAGATAAAAGATGAAAAAACAGAAATTAAATCTAAATTTTCAAAATAATCAGCTTTTGTTTTGCATATTTTTTCAACGTTGCTGTTCCAACTTTATATGCGCAATCAATGCATTATTTCTGATAAAAGGAAAAAACAAAAAACCTGTGCATTTTTCACGCCAATCATTCAATTCACTATTAATAATTACAATTTCTTTCAGTGAAAAGAAAAATAAGATAACGTTACGTAAACAAAAAATAAACTTCGTCACCAGCAATATCGAAGATTCAAAGTAGAGATTTCAAACTTTATCTGTAATTTGTAAAATAATGACATCCAACTTGTTTTAATTTTATTTATTTACCGAAAAAAAAACTATTATACTAATTCCTTAAAATAGAAAAATCTGACAAAGAGAAAGAAAAAGAGAGAAAGCTGACCTTAACATCTCTGACACCAGCACGAACCAAAGCATTGTTAAGATTCCTCATCGCCGGTAAGAGATTGTTAATCATGTTATTATCTCCGGTGAGTAAAATCTCATTTCCGACAGAGATATACTTAATCTTAGTCTGAGGATGAAACGGCAAAATGTTAGCCGAAACCCACCGACGAGCTTGTCTTCCGTTAGCTAACGCCGGAATATCACCGTTAGGAACGGTAACGACGACGGAGATACCAGTTCCAGCGAAGGCACGGAGGATATCAGGATTCACATCGAAGATCTTGACGCTATCGATCGAAGTTTGTGTCTTGATGAAATTTGCCACTTGAGTCGGTGGTGGGAGGTTCCCGAGAGTTCCATAGTTAACACCGATGGCGGAGATCACGGCGGGGATGGTGAGGAATACGGCGGACGAGAGGAGGAGGAGAAGAGAGATTGACGGTGGCGCTTTGGCCATTTTTATATATATTTCGGAAACGAGAAAATCAAACGATTCCAAGTGAAACCCGTGAATCGTTTGAGTAGTGTTTTTTATTATGACGAAGAGATTTAATTCTATCGAGAAACTATTTATAATAGAAATTAATAAATAAATAGATATGACCGTTTTGTGTAGGCGTATACGTGTGTATAATTGTATATGTATATTTTTAGTGAGGAACAGCTGGATTTTTTAGAAAGCAAAAAAAAGTTTGTGTTGTCTTTGTTTTTTTTTCATGTGCGTCGGCTTAAATTTAGGCCGTTGTTTAATAATTGAAAAAGTGGATTTGTTATGACCGTGGAAACTTTAGTTAATTTGGCTAATTTTTATAGGGTCGGTTTTTTTTTTCCTGGATAATTAATTTGTCATCTTTTCTGGTTTTTTGGCTGGTAATACTTAAAAACTATCCGAGTTTAATCTAAAAATAAGGTTTTTTTTTGTTAATCTTGAAATAAGTTTCTGGGATTAATTTTACGATCCTAATTTTATCCATATATCCATAAACTCGTTGAAAAAAGGTAGAAAGAGTGTTGTTTTTGTTGGATATGTTTTTTAAAGATGTTCTTAATGAGGTCAAAGGAGATCTGAGTGTGTTCATTTTATTACTACTACTCTACTAGATTAGTAACAAATTATATATGGTTAATTAGTAAATTAACGTATTACCAAATGTATAATATAAAATATTAAATTGGAAGAAAAAAAAAGAGGAGATAGGTCGACGCGGTTTGGGATAGTGTCAATGGACACGTGTTTGTAGGAGGGAATAGTTTGAAGTTTGAACACTACGGACCAAAGTCAAATAGATTCGAAGTATGAAGATGTTGAGGAAGCTGATTCTTAACTTTTACGTACCCTATCGCCTAAAAGCCATTTGTTGTGGTTTCTTTGGAAGAAAAAGATTCTTTCATGTCTTTTATTCCACTATTTAGATTTAGTTAACAGTTTATTGTCATTATCAATGACATAGTTACACTGATTGCACACACAAACCACGTAACTTCTTTTATTAAATCCGTCACTTGTTTTTTCAATTACAAATCACCATTGTTATTTTTTTACTATTACATATCCAATAATAATTTATGCCACTACATATCCCTTAAGAGCTAAGACTGTCAAGATTTGTTTGAAATATCATATATAACAAAATTGCCAAAATAAGTTTAAATGAGATAAATCAAGACATGGTTGTCCAATGATATAAAAATTCGCTATGAAAATTGAGAAATCAGGGGGTCAAGCCTTTGGGATTAGTTTGTGGTTAGCTAGATGTCATAAATGAAAGAGAAAAAAAAAACTCAATTCTTCTATAACCTTTGGGATTAGTCACGGTTGTAAAAAAAAATTAAGATCAGATCAGGTCAAAGAGTAAAGAAAGCATATGTTCTGGACTGTGTGAAAATTTCTTTGGGTGTGTAAATAATAACTTGAATTAAAGAAACACAAATGGGCATTATTGGGCCTATAATATAATACAAGGTACCGGAAAGAAAAAATAAGGAATATGAACAGTTGAACACATTAATAGGCTTTATTGGGCCTAAAGCCTTGTCATAGCATCACTCTCCACGCCGCTGTCTAGTCACCACCAACCAACCAAACCTTGGCCAACACGTCCATAATATTTCCTCCGCCCTCGTAAGTTACTTTAATACCCTCATCTTTCCTAATTTTTTCAGGGAATATTCTCCTATACCTTAGACATATGCGTCTTTTCCAATCTAAAATATTGAGAGTATATTTTTATTTATATATGAGTGACCCCTGCGAGAGACAACGGCCACTGAACACTCTCGATCTAATCTTTTAGCTCTCCATCGTCGTATCTGTGACTCTCGTGATCATCGTCTGAAAAAACTTGAGATAATGGCCAGAAAGTTCTTCGTCGGAGGCAACTGGAAATGTGTAAGTGATCCATCTTCTTTGCGTAATCTTTTTCGCACTTTTTAGCTTTGTCACTGATGGTCTCTCGTCTTTGATTCTTCCCCGATCAAGTCAAAGAGATCGGAAAATCCCGATCTTAAGATCGAAGGTTTTGTTCATTTTTTGCATCTATGGACTTTGAATTTTAATGCAGATGGTTTGGATTTGTCGATTAGATGCCGGATCTCAGTTTTTTTTTTTCTTTTCAATTTTGAATACGAATTCTTCATCAATTGATATATCTCGTGTTCTAGCTTTGATGGATCTGTGTGTTAATTTTGTTGGGTTAACTATTTTAACATGTTAATATTTTGAATCATGCTTTTGTTCTTGTGAGAAAGATGCTTATGTTTTTGTTCTAAAATTTTTTAAATCTAATGTAGAACGGAACTGCTGAGGAGGTGAAGAAGATTGTGAACACTCTTAATGAAGCTCAAGTACCTTCACAGGATGTCGTAGGTAAGTGTAGTAGCATCTCCATTGCTTTGACGATATTATGGCTGTTTTTATTTCCATGTCTATGAAATCTTAGGGAAGTGATAGTGGGAAATACTTGGGGCATACGAATGTATATGGCTATTCTATAGTGAAGCTTTGGGTATATCAAATGTTTAAGCATATGATTAAATAGATCTAATGTTTGTTGTTAATCAAATTGTTCTTTATCATCTACTTGTGTTCCATCGTATTTATTATGGGTTGGAGTAATATTTTGATGGAAATTTTACCAATGCAGAGGTTGTGGTTAGCCCTCCATATGTTTTCCTTCCCCTGGTTAAGAGCACATTGAGGTCTGACTTTTATGTTGCGGCACAAAACTGTTGGGTTAAGAAGGGAGGTGCTTACACTGGTGAAGTGAGGTGAGGTTCTAACCTCTGGTGTATACTTATAGCTGTTTTACGATTATTGCTTCATGTGGTAAAATTTTATGGTATTGAAATTTTTTATGATTGTGTTCAAAACAAATCAATTTCTCCAGCTGTTGTTCTTTATCTTGTTTCCTATAACTATTGAGTCACCCAAGTGATTAAGAAAACAAAACAGTTGAGAGTAGGACCATGGTTGGAGACCTGCCTCAGGTGTAAAATAATCTACCTGTCTATTGGAGGCTTTCATAGGAAGAAAATATATAGTCTGTGGTGTCTGTACTTCCTGCGTAATATTCCCTGCTCTTATGCGTTGTGTAATTTGTGTGTGCAGTGCTGAGATGCTTGTGAACTTGGACATCCCATGGGTTATCCTTGGTCACTCTGAAAGGAGGGCAATCCTTAAGGAATCAAACGAGGTTGGTGACTTTTTCCTTGACGAAATAAAATTCTGAAGTACTACTCAATCAGCTTTTGAATCCATGATTTTGGTTTTTGACCTCTATCCTACATTTGTAGTTTGTCGGAGACAAGGTTGCCTATGCACTTGCTCAAGGTTTGAAAGTGATTGCTTGTGTTGGTGAGACTCTTGAGGAGCGGGAAGCTGGGTCGACCATGGATGTTGTGGCTGCCCAGACCAAAGCTATCGCTGGTATGTATACTGTCAAATACTTTTATCTCTTTTTGCTATCTGATTTTGTTCTCGTTGACAGTGAGACCTGATATGATGATAGACTTGATAGTGATTCCCTTTTCTACTCACTATACTCCCTTTGTGTGAGATTCAAACCACACAGAAATATTTGTTGTCTAAAAAACTCCTTTTTGTTGGTAATGGCAGATCGGGTGTCAAACTGGTCAAATGTTGTCATAGCCTATGAGCCAGTGTGGGCCATTGGAACCGGAAAGGTCGCTAGCCCAGCTCAAGCTCAAGAAGTAAGTGGTTCTCGATGCGCATTAGCACTTTAACGTTTTGCATATATGGTCATGATTTGATAGGAAAACCAATACTGTTTTCCTTACGAGAGCTTGTTTCGTTTATGAACAGGTACACGATGAGCTGAGGAAATGGCTGGCCAAGAACGTGAGTGCTGATGTTGCTGCTACAACCCGCATCATTTATGGAGGTAGATGATAACACTAATTTTAATTAAACACCCCTGTATAGTTTTCTATGTTACTTAGCTTGGTTATGTAAATTATTATCAGGATCCGTCAATGGTGGTAACTGCAAGGAGCTAGGTGGTCAGGCCGATGTTGATGGTTTCTTGGTCGGTGGTGCTTCTCTAAAGGTACATGTATTATGGTTTCCCTTGTGATGATATATTCGTTTGTTTCTCTATCAACACCATGTCTAATGTTTTCATTTCTTGGTTTTGCAGCCTGAGTTTATCGACATCATTAAGGCTGCAGAGGTGAAGAAAAGCGCTTAATGAGTTCATTAAGGAGTTTGAAAATCCTTTACTTTTCCAATCTCAACTCTGAAAAAATGAATAAGTTGGTATTATGATACATTTTGCTTCAGTTGTATTTGGCAACAAAAGTTTCCCTCTTACTATATTGTTTTGAGAACGCAACAATCATTTTCATCGCCATTTATTTAGCTGTCAACTTTGCAAATCTCTTTCTTTCATAATCTTCCTAGGAGAAATTGTCTTCGGTGTTCATAACCTCTCGGCCGTTTCGATTAAATAAATATGTGTTTCATAGTTTTATCAATCAAACACTATTTGTACTGTTGGCTGGATCATAAACCAATTTACCGTCGTGTTTAACAAATATTTTAATAATATGTTATTTGTTCCTCCATTTTAGACATTGGTATTTTGTTATATTTGATCTCTGAATCATGCTGTCAACCGCTGTGGAAATTACTTTACTTGTTAAATGAATGATGAGGATTGAGGAGAGTACAGGATAAGTGGGAAATGACTTTATTTTTTTCCCTTTTATCGCTTTTGCCTATTGGTCTATCAATTTTGACATTTTAGCTTTTTGAATACTATTATTTTCAACTTTATTGTCGTCATCATGAAAAATGTCCAACACTAGGAAATATCATGTAGGGAGTAAAAAAAGGAAAAGAAATTTCATGGAGAAAATCATTATTAGGAATGTCAATGTTTGTAGAAAACACAATGCTTATGTAATTTGAGTAAAACGGCTCAGTGGAACTAAAGTGATAATGTAAAAGAGCTCGACGGATAATAAGTCCAAATTAATTAAATAAGAGCTCCCGTATGTCAGAAGTGTTGAAAACATTTATTAAAAAATTGGACTCAATATGATGAAAATGTATATGGATCTTGACCCGACCACGAAAATCCAACTAGTGCCAATAAAACTCCCGCAATATGTGACTCAGCTACAAATGTGATAACGTATTACCTCCCAAGTCAACCCACATTTCTGGTGATTTATATTTTATTTATTTCTGAGTAATATTTAAAACATTAGGGATTGAAATTTTATGAGTACTATATTATTTAGTTGACCTTGGACTTATTTGCGTAACGAGCAAACAATTGTGACCTTAGAAATGGATGTTTGACTAAGTCATCGATTATTTCCGCAATGGAGTAATTTTGGGTCCGTATGACTCAAACAAGTTTTTCTAATTTTTTCTGTGTGTTTTTTTAATCATCTGATTAGATTGATAAAACAAAGAAAAATACATAATAGAATTACATATACCGGTGGAAAAAACAAATCTTCGAAAACTAAATCCAAACGAAAGAAACAAAGTTCGGATTTTTTCTGTTTAAAAAACTTTTATTTATCGATTTATTGTTCACTACTTTATAAAACTTATGTCCCATCCCATGATACTAAATTTAATTACTGGTTAATTACATTATACACAACTAGTCAAAGTACATATATTTTTTTTCTTTTTCTTACCTACTTGTATAAATTATTTCCTGGTTAATTAAACTAAACATAAGTTGATATTTTACGTAGTTACAAATCTTGTTTTTCTTACCTACTTATAAACCTTTCTGAACTTGACAAGGTTGAATTTTGCTTTTGTATACATTTCTATCAGATCACTATTACTAAACCCGAATCTGTCTCATCATTCCACACCCAAAGCATATAACTCGGAAATATCTATGATTAGTACAATTTAGAGATTACATGAATATCTATCATTTTCGACAAAATTTTCTCTCTTTTTTCTTTTGCATCCAACCCCACCACGGCAAATTCAGGCCAGTAAAAGATTCCAAAATCTCATGACCATCTGACTCAGATGTCATATCTATCAAAGACATTATTTTGAATCTTAAACTTATATCATTAGTGATCTTTTTGCACGTTAAGCTCAAATCATTAAATTAATATGACTAATTTTATTTTAAAACTCGCTTCCATCAACTACAACCCCAACAAAATTTTCTTCTGGTCAAAAATATCACCTTTTGTCTGAATTCGTTTTTTTTTTTTTGGACAAGAAAAAGACCTTTCTTCTTCCTTCGGTTGCCTCTTGTACCATCTCATCAACAACATCTATCTTCTTCTCTTCTCTCATCCTCTCTCTTCTTCTCAGTGTGTACTTTTTCACATCTCTTTCTCTCTTTCTCTTTATTGTTTAGCTTTAATGGGTTTCATCTGACAGAATCTGCTCTACCTAAAAACAGCAAAAGAAGCAATTCATTATCAGAAAAAGAACAAACCAAAAAAGGATCTTCTTCATCATTCTACTAAATGGGTTCTTGTCTCAGTTCTCGTGTTCTTAGTACGTTCTCTGCAACTACAAACTTTTTTCTTCATCTCCCATTTCTGTGTGTGTTTACATGTGTATCTCATCAAATCCGTGATCTTTTTGGTTAATTAATAATGGGTTTTAAGAAAAGGAATGAAATTTGCAAGAATCTTGTTCCCGTGATCTAACTGAATAAAGTTTTCCCCTTTTTTTGTGTGCTCTCAATTTTGACTCTGGTCAACGCTTTTGTGTTTGTGCAGATAAGAGTAGTAGTGGTCTCGATGATCTTCATCTCTCGAGCTGTAAATCTTCATCATCAGCTGTAGCTCATAAGACAGAAGGAGAGATTCTTAGCTCAACGAGCGTTAAAAGCTTTAGCTTTAATGAACTTAAACTAGCAACTAGAAACTTTAGATCGGACTCTGTTGTTGGAGAAGGTGGCTTTGGTTGTGTCTTTAGAGGTTGGCTTGATGAGACTACTCTTACTCCTACCAAATCTAGCTCCGGTCTTGTAATTGCTGTTAAACGACTAAATCCTGATGGTTTTCAAGGTCACCGTGAATGGCTGGTACAACACTTGTTCTTATGTTTGATTTATGACCCTCTTGTGTATTTGTGTTTGTTGGCTCTGACTCTGATCTTTTGTGCTTTTTTTGTTGTGATTCAGACAGAGATTAACTACCTGGGGCAGTTAAGTCACCCGAATTTGGTTAAGTTGATTGGTTATTGCTTGGAAGATGAACAACGGCTTCTTGTGTATGAGTTTATGCACAAGGGTAGTCTTGAGAATCATCTGTTTGCAAGTGAGCCTTTGATCTATTTCTTGATAACAATCCATGTTTTGTGAGACTTGTTTGTTCTTACGTTTGAATGGTTTTTTGAAGATGGAAATCGAGATTTTAAGCCGCTCTCTTGGATTCTACGGATTAAGGTTGCACTTGATGCAGCTAAAGGTCTTGCATTTCTTCATAGCGAACCCGTCAAAGTCATATACCGAGACATCAAGGCGTCAAACATCTTGCTGGACTCGGTATTCTACTCTCTCGAAGTCTACTGGTTGTATTTATCAACGACTAAAAAGATACTGACTTTTGTCTTTCAAATACCAGGACTTCAACGCTAAGCTTTCAGACTTTGGGTTAGCGAGGGACGGTCCAATGGGAGAAACAAGCTATGTTAGTACAAGGGTCATGGGTACATTTGGGTACGCAGCTCCTGAGTACGTCTCAACAGGTAAATTCTATACTCAGATGTAAACTGTCACTAAGATATGATACAATCGATAATAGTTGGATAACAAAATGTTTGCATGAATATGAATTTGAAGATAGCAACTATCTACAACATTTATGTGGTTAAAGTCACATGCTATGTGCCTAAAAGACGAGTTAGTAGCTTGTTTCGTTCTCTCATCTTTGTATCTTTTTCAGGTCACTTGAATGCTAGAAGCGACGTATACAGTTTCGGGGTTGTTCTGCTAGAACTACTATGTGGAAGGCAAGCACTGGACCATAACCGCCCGGCCAAGGAGCAAAACCTTGTGGATTGGGCTCGACCGTACCTAACAAGCAGGCGAAAAGTTCTACTAATTGTGGACACCCGGCTTAACTCACAGTACAAACCCGAAGGAGCAGTGAGACTGGCAAGCATTGCCGTGCAATGCCTCTCATTCGAACCCAAATCCCGTCCGACCATGGACCAAGTGGTTCGAGCCTTGATACAGCTGCAAGACAGCGTGGTTAAACCGGCCAATGTTGACCCGATTAAGGTTAAGGATACCAAGAAACCAGTGGGATTGAAAACTGAAGACACATACCAGAGAAATGGTTTAAACAAAAAAACCGTTGGATTGTAGTAGGTAGAGAGAAATATAAGGTTACTGGTTAGGGGGTACTCTTCATGTCTTCTTCTTGTGTATTGTAATATTGTGTGAAGTGATTTTGTTACACTGCTTATAGTTTTGCTCCTGAAAATATTGATTTGGAGATATTTGTTTATTTCTCTCTATAGTTTGGTGATATATGCCAACATGTGGTACTGATCAATTCCACTCTCTTCTAACATTTTAGTTTACTATATACTCCCTCTGTTTTTGAAAAGTTGTCGTTTTAACTGTATTTAGACAAATTAAGAAAAGGTATACAATGACTATATTAACCTCATAAAAATGACAAGTAATTATTTACAAATAATTTGTGTTTAATTAAATGAGGGTAATTTGGGTAGTTATTGGCATAAGTTACATTATTACCTTAAAACGACAACTAATTTAAAACAAAAAAATGCTCTAAAACGACAACTATTCGAAAACGGAGGGAGTATGTAACTAATTTCTGTCAAATTGATATGTTTAGTGAATATGAATTATTATAGTTGATTATTCAATTATAACCGCTATCTAAAAATAGACAGAATACTAGAATAGTACAACAAACACATAATGCAACATAAATATCAATTCCGAAGTCCCCAAAATACCATAAATATCAAATTCCATGAACATTGCCACTAACCAAATAAATATTAAATCTTACGTTGATTAAGCCAAAATTGATCTGAGTTAGATCAAAGTAACCATTGAAATAAATAATTTTTTTGGTCATAAATTTTAAAGGTTACTAAAAGTCTAAAACTGTTTTCTTTTTCCACAACTTTTTTACTGTTTCTCTAATTGTCAACAATCAACAATCTTACCTTTTTTTTTTCATTTAAAAAACAAATATATATGCCATATGGAAAACGCGAAAAAAAGGAAAAATCACAATAAGGCAAAGCCCATTTAATAAATGGGCCAAGCTCTCCGATCAATAGAAAAAAAAAAACAAGTCTTCTTCTCTCATAAGAGCTTAGGGTTCACTTCAGATCTGTCTTTGAACAATTTTCTCGACTATCTTCTCTGTTACTCTCAAGTGACCAAGCAACTTCGTCGCAGGTAAATTCCTGATCTTCTCTCTTGAAAATTCCACAATCCTCCAATCGTTAACCCTAATTTTTTAACTGTTTCTCCAAGAAACATGTTTTTCTTTTGATGAATTTGAGGATCTTGCGTTGAGAAATTCGTTTGTTTCTGTGGTAGGTGATGAGGAGATACAGTCCGCCTTATTACAGTCCTCCGAGGAGAGGATATGGTGGTCGAGGTAGAAGTCCTCCTCCTCCTCCACGACGTGGATATGGTGGGGGTGGTGGTGGTGGTGGTGGACGTAGAGGATCTAGCCATGGAAGTCTCTTGGTTCGTAACATTCCTCTTGATTGCAGGTAAATTCTCTTTCTTTGGTTTAAAGTTTGGATTTTTTTTAGTTTTATCTTTGAAGATTTCATTGGTTTGTTGATTTTGTTGTTTTACTTGGTTTGGTTTTGCAGACCTGAAGAGCTTCGTGTGCCGTTTGAGAGGTTTGGACCTGTGAGAGATGTCTATATCCCCAGAGACTATTACTCCGGGTGAGCCTCTTCTTTCCTTCTCCATGTCTTTATCTTTTTCATTTTTTTACCTGAAAGTTATGTCTTTTGAGTTGTGAATCTTTGTAGATAGACTAGTTATGTGATGGTTAGCATATGATTCTTGTTTTCCTGTAGAATTTGCTTTGTTTACGATTGAAATGCTGTCTAAACACTTTGCTGCTTCATATTGAAAGCTGAACCATTTCTTATGATTAAAACGGGTGTTCATAAGTCGTCAACTTGTGCACAAAGTTAGGAAAAATGCAAATGACATATAAGTTTGAATTTTGATTTTGGCGCAAGCTGTGCGTATAACTTTTTTTTTTTGTTATACACTCCACTTTTTGATCGAGCTAAGTTCTCGAGGTGAGAAGAGACCCTTTTGGTTGAGTTCTCGATTTTTTTTCAGAGCTTTTTGTTTTGGAGTTCTTTTTTTCATAGTAAATTAAACATTCCACTGATTTCCCAGGGGGTATGTTGGCTTGAAGTTAAAACAAGACCAAGCCCCACATTTGATGAAGGCCTCATGAAAAAATCTTAACTTAAGGATATTAAGGGTCATTTCAAATCAAGAATGTTTTGTTTGGAAGCAAGTTATAAGTGAAGAATATTTTGTTTGGAAGCAAGTAGTAAGTGAAGAATGTTTTGTTTGGAAGCAAGTAGTAAGTGAAGAATGTTCTATATTGAAGCAGTAATAAGTGAAGCATGTTCTTTATGAAGCTATACAAAAAATTACTCAATACTTTAGAAGTTTGTTGGGGAAAGCGACCTGAAGAGAACTTAAGTTTGGGATCAAGTGCTTCTTATTTTTACAAGATCTCTTGCCTCTTTTCGAGTTGATGTGCTTGAACTGTTAAGAAAGGGTCAGCTACTAGCCATATTAGCGTAAGCAGATCTCTTCTTTTCTTAGAAGTTCTCACACGATGACATTTACTTAGAAGTTCTCAGAAGCTGTAGAGTGTAGGCTGATTTTGCTGGTAATTCTAGATTTATCTGGTGTTTTGTGCATTTGCTATCAACCATCAACCACTTGGAATGATAAGGTTCTGATGAATGATGCAGGGAACCCCGGGGGTTTGCCTTTGTGGAGTTTGTTGATGCATATGATGCTGGGGAGGCTCAAAGAAGCATGAACAGGAGAATCTTTGCTGGAAGAGAGATAACGGTGGTTGTTGCTTCAGAGTCTCGGAAAAGGCCTGAAGAGATGCGTGTGAAGACTAGGACTCGTAGTAGGTATGTTTCCATATTTCTGGTTGCTAAAGCAAAGAAGTTGAGTTATCAATCAAATCGCTCTTCGAGATTAATGCTCTGCAAGTTATCCATCATTTATGAAAAGAAGTTGAGAAGGAAATAATTGATGAGTTGTCTCAATTTTTCAGGGAACCTTCAGGCTCCAGAGGTCGTTCTCATGGTTAGTAATTTTCTCTTTGGTTCACATGTTATGTGTTATTAAGCAAAGTTTCAACATATACTAGCACAGCTAGATTGTGAGGCAGTTTTTTATATACAGAGCTTGAGTATGTCTATGATTTACTTTCAGGACGGTCTCGTTCACGTTCAATCTCTCGATCACGCTCTCCTCGTCGTCCATCAGATTCTAGAAGCAGATACCGATCAAGGTAACATGCTTCATCACACATACCTTTCCATCATTGTCAGATCAACAAGATGTATATATGAATTTACATAATGATGTTACAGGTCTTACTCTCCTGCACCAAGACGAAGAGGAGCAGACTATTCAGCATCTCCGAGGAGAAGGCAAGAGGAACGTCCACGATCACCACCAAGAGGTCCTCCTCGTGGAGAAGAAGATGGAAAATACAGTCGCAGGTCCTATTCCCCTGGCTATGAAGGTGCTGCTGTTGCTCCAGATCGGGACAGAAATGGAGACAATGAGATTAGAGAGTAAGTGAAACATTGTGTCTGATTTTACTTTGCCCCTGAGGATTGTGTCTAATGTTTTTGTGTTTGGACATTGCTTGGTCTTTGTAGAAAACCGGGCTATGAAGCAGAGGATAGACGTGGTGGTGGAAGGGCAGTTTCAAGGTCGCCATCAGGATCCAGGTCCAGGTCTGTGGAGGTATCTCCAAGATGAAACATGTGTTAAGAAGCCAACCAAAACATTGTGCAACGCTTTATGGGTTTTGCCTAGTTGTTTCTCTAGTAGTGTGGTCTCTGTTTCTTTAAAAACTCCTGAGTCTGGCTTGTCAAAGATAATATGTCTTGTGATGTGATGATACTTGAAATCGTTGTCGGTTTATGGGTCTTATTTTGAAGTTGTATGAAGATTGGTTATGCTTTTGATGTGAGAAACGTTTAAAACCCACAATGAGCGAGCTAGTAATCAAGTCTTCTTATGGTCAAGATCTAGAGCTGCTACTTTTTTTTTGGTTCTAGAGCAGCCTATGCAAATCCCATTAGAAAAGTCAGGTCTAATAATTTCTGAGAAGAAGAGAATAAAAAGACTCCATCTAGAAGCCATAATGATGTTTTATTGGGTCTAGTTTGATCAAAAGGCCAAAGACTTTGATTGGTTTCAAGCAGCCAATCGTCTTTCCTTAAACTAAAATAAGGGTAAGATGGTCATTTAGCTTAGTTGACCAGACCAAAACTTTAGGTATTGGCCTCCTCTTACATAATAATGGTTTGGTTTGGTTTGATCAAGTCTTGGAACCACGACGCAGGTTATGTTTGAATATTGGAAAAGAATAAATAAGAATAGTAAATCATTATGTGAACGAGAAAGTCTGCGTGTTCTTGCTTCTGTATTTAAGGACTTGTCTGACACATCCACTTCATCAATAGTTTCTCTTTCTTCTTCTTCTTCTTTTTTTCCTTTAGAAACAACACAAACCCCAAAAACTTATAAAAAAACTCTACAGAGATGGCTGTTGGAATCCTTGAGGTTAGTCTGATCAGTGGCAAAGGTCTTAAGCGCTCTGATTTTCTTGGTAATAATCTCTCTATCATCTCAGATTTGGTATCCTTTCATAATTTAAAAACCCTTTTTCTTGTTTTTTACTTACTTTTTTTTTTTTGGTTTGGTTTGAGTTTAGGCAAGATAGATCCATATGTTGAGATCCAATACAAAGGCCAAACCCGCAAAAGTAGCGTTGCTAAAGGTAATTAACTTTCTAATTCCCTTCTCTCCATAGTTCCATACTTCCATATCTCTGTCAGCTTTATTCGGCTTTTTAGTTTGACTTTTTTTTTTCGTTTTATGTGAGTGACTATTTCTCCAATTTCATTTTCTATTTTACTCGGACTTTAGAAATAAAACGCCCACATGCTGGTCTTCGTTGATGGTTGTACATAAAATAAAAACAGTTGCAACTTGCATCCATAGGTTTTTCAATTTCAACTATCCCCATAGCCTGCATTACATGCTAGTTTAGGTAAACACTATTTTTTCTTGTAGTTATTCCTAGTAAAATTAAAATTTCGTTTTCTTTTGAGATATAACTTTTTTCAAGAGAGAAAATAATGGTGATGAATCTAATATTAGTTTATATTTGAGACATTTTGTGGTAGCTTGTAAGTTTCTTTTCTTGTATATGGTTTAAATCTTGATAAAGGATGTGTGTGGATAGAGCTTTCTTCTGAAAGTAGTCATCTCATTTAGTGTGATATTGTCTGGCCAACCTCATTTTTAACTAATCATCAATGCACCAAACTTCCTATTTAACTAATTAATTAACTATTTAGGACTCACAATAACTACTTGTTTACTAGTTATAAGAAAAAATATTTTCATTTCCTATAAAAATGGGCAGTGTAATGTGATATAAACAATCCTAGACCTTGGTAATGTTTTACTGAAGAAAAATGGTGTATTGATTAGCAAGATATTGAGTGAACTTTTTTTGTTATTTAAATGAAGAAGATGGAGGTAGAAATCCAACATGGAATGATAAATTGAAATGGAGAGCAGAGTTTCCTGGCTCCGGCGCTGACTACAAACTCATCGTCAAAGTCATGGATCATGATACTTTCTCCACCGATGATTTCATCGGCGAAGCCACGTAAGTATATCATATCATGATAGCCTAAACTATAAATGATATGAACTCGAAAATATATGTAAAAGTAATAAAAAAGGATTTGGATTAATCTTGATTAATGAAATGAATAAATAGGGTACATGTGAAAGAGCTATTGGAAATGGGAGTGGAGAAGGGAACGGCTGAGCTAAGGCCAACCAAGTACAACATTGTTGACTCCGATCTCTCCTTTGTCGGCGAGCTTCTCATCGGAGTTTCTTACTCTCTTTTGGTTAGTTTCTTTCTTTTTACATTTACTTTTTTTTTTTTTAAACTAAAGTCTAATTACCCTCTGATTGAATTAAACTCTTTACTTTTGTTGGGAATTTGCAGCAAGACAGGGGAATGGATGGAGAACAGTTTGGAGGATGGAAACATAGCCAAGTTGATTAGTTTCGTTTCTTAAAACTGCTGATTTTATCTTCTTCTTTTATCTTTAGTGTCAACATCATTAAGATATTCTTAAGTACAAAAAATATCTAAATTAAAATGTATCATGATTTGTTGGTTGTGTGGAATCTCCTTGATTTAGTAAGAGCATGTGTATGAAATCTCATTGTATTTATAATTTATATTATACAGAAATGTATCAAAATAATGTTATAACAAAAAAAGGATTGGTAACATTTTCACAAAGTGACGAAAAAAGATCCTTAGTTTTGCTGATCAAGTGGCTGAAGAAGATGGCTCAACCATGAAATTAGCTATTCGGTTCAACAGGTTTAAACCAAAAACCGTTTCTTCGCAATTGATCTTGACTGTTAAATTCAGAACTTCGGTGCATTTGCCTTCGACTGTGATGGTAATCAAAAGAGGGATCTCACTGCTCAAGATTTTGCTGCTGAATCTTAACCGCAGACCAGTTGCATCTTCGAGTGAGTTTGCAACTGGTAAATCCACAGATACAAGGTGTAGATTTGAGTTGCTAAGCACCTTTAGTGTTATACACTCGCAGATGCTGAGAAATTTGTCTTTCCCATTCTCCATTCTTGAATCTTTAACATGATCGTCAAAAGTACACCTACCAAAAGTGAAGAGAACCCAGATTAGGGAATCAGTTTGCGAAATGAAAATGATCTTACTGAAAACTTTTTGTGCAGAAAGTAAAAGTTGAAGTTTCTTATACATCAACTTCAAATTTAAGTAGAGAAAAGTAGCTAACCTTCGACTATACTCAAACATTCCAGGTAACCGAGATTCCGTGGCTAAGAATTCCTCGATGCTCATTGAAAATGGTTTCACAAGGTATCCAAGATCAGGTCGTAACTTGACAGGAACCTCCTTTCCATTGTAATGTAAGGTTAACCTCATGGGAAGCAGGTGGTGATGAAACCGAACTTGGATAAGCCTCTTTGCGCTCTGATGTGGTTCAAGGCAGCTGATTTCCTCCATTGGAATTAGAGTTGGCACGTTGTTGTAAGATGCACTGCAGGGTTTTCAAAAAAAAAATGAGATAATCTGAGAAATTAAAGATAATGGCTTTCTACCAGAACTAATTCCTTGCAAGATTCAGGATGAAAACTTGTGTAATATAACATGTAGTTAGGCACTTTCATGTGGACCAAGCGATAGATGGATTAGGCAAGAAACGGGTTTTCTAAATCAATTGCGTATAAAGATATCAAACTTACTTTGCTTTACCAACCAAAGTCTGTTCAGAAGAGTCTGCTACCTTCATCGATTCTTCATCTTCCAAATTCACCTCCAGGATAGGTTCAGCAGAACTGTTCTCAAACAGAACTTCTACGCAAACATGTAATGGAGATACAGTAGATACTTCAGATAAAAAGGTATAGCCTACCTTCAAGCCACTGCCATTTCCAGGGTCTAAGAGACTATAGCTTTTAGGCTTCACTCGGCTTCCTATATCACCAATGGATATCTTCGCATAAGAGCTCTGATTACTATTTAATGCAGATGGAGTTTGGTTTGATGTACTAGGCTGATCATCTAACCACAAATCCAGGGCCCGTTTGGACCTTAGTTCTTCCTGGTCAGCGGAAACAGAAGTCTCTGAAATTTGAATTAAAGGAGCAGCTGGATCATTGGCATCATTAGACACCGTTCTTTCATCAGCGTCACTGCTGAAATCTGAACCAATAGAAGATTCAGAGTCATAGTCAGAGGAGCCATCCTCATCCACTGTTTCAGATGATTCCCGAGAACCATCTAAATCAGCTACGGCCTCCCTTTGTCTGTCTAAATCTGACAGCTGGTCTTGTTCTTCAAACACAAAACTGCAGGGCTTTGGAAGAGGTTCGTATCCAGGGGCTGCATGAAGAACTATCTGTGATAGAGATCCAGGAAGATAAAAACGATTGTGCAGGGCTAAAGGTGAAAAAGGTTTCAGTTTTCTTCCAAAGACATGTTCCACAACATGCGTAACAATATTTTCTTGTGATGCAACACTGTCTTCTGCCAGCTCATGACAAGCTAATTTGGATGACAGCAGTTTCTTGAGGAAACGAGTTCGATCACGAACATCATAGCTGAAGTCACATTCGCCCAATTCAAACACATAAATCACAACCCTTTTCAACATCTGAAAGTCGTCAGCCTCTGCACTGTTTAGAACCTGCAATTACAACGATAACTTGAAAATTACTTGAAATATCTTTTGACTGTAGTGAGACGTGCCAAACTAAAAGTAGTCACTAGCACGGGCAATAAAGATTTTCATAGCATACCTAAGAGATTTCACAGGATAGAAAATTTATAGGATGAAATGTTGTCATTAGTGAAGAAATAGAGCTGATTGTTTCAGAGAGAGTAAGTGATAAATTTGTTCAAATAGCAGAAATGTAGATGTCCTTTCTCATTTAATCATATAGCCTTTCTTTCAACAGGGTTGATGAAGAAATATAATACTATTGAACTCAGAATAAGAAGTTTTGAGGCAACGCTATACCTTAGCAGAAGTATTAAGAATCTGAAGTTTTGTCTCTGATGCCTCTGATTTAAAGCTCCATGCAAGGTACTTGGTTATTGTGGTAAGCATCCTAGGAATGATATGACCCAAAGAGCAGTAGACCCCCACCATCCAAATAATAGTTGCACGAGCAGCAGCTACCTTGATTGAATCCAGACTACGAAACAGCTGAATTAAAACCTTCAAACAACCAAAATGAACAACAGAAAAATCAAATACCTTATTGAAAATAAATGTTCAAAAGAGTTATTTTTGAGATCAGTGCAGTAGGTGCTAAGCATTTGTCTTGAAAATGGTGCGAATTATATGTGCAGTCAGTGAATGAGATGTGTATACTTTCTCATGACGAAGGGAATCTCGCTCTATGATAGTCTGAATCGACATCACGGCTTGCACCAACACTCCAGCTTCTCCATCCACTGACTCAAAATCTCCAGCAAAAGATTCTGCAACATTGTGAGAGCTACTTCAACTGAACTGCTAAATAGATTAACTAATGAGTGCAAGTGAAATAAAGCATAACTGACCCTGTCGAACTAGTGCTAATAATCCATCAAGACATGTAGTTGGAATTGTCGGTAGTCTTTTTGCACACAAACCAATTGCTGCAACTGTATCAGCCGCAAATCTCCTGTCTGGATCTTTAACATAATCCTGGAAAAAGCTCACAGTTAAAAAAAAAATCAGTCATGCACATATCATCTTGGCCATAAATTACTGTACAGGGACAAAGATGAAAACGCTTCTGTTACAACACTTAGAACTGGAAAGTTCTACTGGAAAGTCAAATGATCATACAAACTTTCCAGAATGAACCAAAACAGTTTATAATCGAATTTTAAGGATAAAGTAGTACCTCAAACTCTCTCAAAATTGAAGAGATAGATGAAGTGGTAGCAATGAGAGAAAGCATTTCCAGCTTGTATGCTTTAACTTGATATGCATCTGAGGAACAAATAAAGAAATTTTCGAAGTGTGGAGCAAAGAGAGAAGGGATTGCTTTGGCAAAAACTAGGATGTTGCAGAGGACCTGCCACAAATATGAATAAAATAATGTTCAGAGAGCACATTTCCTCAAGACTACACAGCACGTATGGAATGGATTAACCAGTTAAACATTGGTGGGGGAAATAACAGAATGTTACCACATATTTGGAGGCGCTGGATGACCTAAGCAAAAACAAGAGCGGTTTAACAATTTTCTTAACATCTTCCAGAGGCGCCATTATCCATTGAACGCCAGCTGCTGCTAGTACAACTGCACTGTTATTACTCCATAGCAATGGGGATGTACACTGAAGCAGGATCTTAACATCTTCATTATGTGCAATAGATGTGGTCTCTTTGCTATCGAAAGCAGATGACACTGTATCGGGGCAACTAGATCTTGATAGATACTCATCTGGACCTTCAATGTAACATTTAGATACAAGGCTGACCAGATTAACATCAAATGAATCACTTTTACCACCATCTTCTTCTTTATCTAATTTAAGATCTCTGACTAGGCCATCCTTCTCACAGAAGCCATTACTATCCATACCATGTAGGGACAGCATCAAAGATTCCCGTACAAGTCCATGCCTAGCAACCACATAGCGCAAAAGAGTTCCTATGAGTAATATCTGACCCCACTCTTCTACGTCAGGAAGAATCTGGCACAACTTCTTATAGTTCTTTCCAATCAGTTTGAAGTTATTTGGACAGATGGAGGTGAATGCCGCTGCCGCAGCTCCAACTACTCCTGGAGAATGGTCATTCAACAGTATCCCGACTAGCTGCAAGAAGGTTAATCGTTTCAATGAAAAATCCCATAGCCCAAGAACATCAAAAACATAAAACCTACCCTCATTTTCAAACACTAGACTATGAATAAACAGAAACTTGACAAGATATTCAAATCCTAGTGCCCATCTATACATAGCATTAGTCAAACAGTATTTGAACTACCAACAGCAGTTATATACAACAACTAAAAGATATAGACAGGAAAAACCTCTTCAATCGCAGAAGCATGTTCTTCCAGCCGCAAATCATGCAACTTTGGAAGAGCATTTGCAGCACATTTCCGGACATAAACCGCCGGATCCCTAGCACATTTACCCACAGCTGCGAGTGCAATAGGTGCAATAACATGTAAGCGAATCCCCGCCATTGTACGAAGTGCCCAAGCCCTAACCAATGGATTTGGATCCCCCAAGTCCTTCTGAAAATAGTTGATCGACAGCAACGCTTCATTTGGACGCCTACATAATCAATAGAAGCTAATAATGTAGATGCACAAACAAAATACACAAAAGACATTAGCTGATTTGAATTCACATACTTTTCTGCATATTGTAGCAAATACAAGTAAACAAGCTTCTTCACTTCCGATGACTGTGACGCCACATTTTTCACCACCTGCCATTAAAATTCGTCCAAAACTGTTTCAACAATCTAAAGAATTCTAGGATTGTAACCTTTAGATCTCACCGGGTCAATTCGAAACAAAGTTATCAAAGGGATCAAACAAAATAAGGCAAACACCTGAGGGAAGAAATTGGAGACATCAAAGCCCTGAGCGATAAGAGCAAGGAGACGCTTAAGAGCTTCACATTTCTCAGATTCGAACTTGCTATCGAGAAGTGGAGAAATGTTGACGTCTTCCGGATCATCATAAAGATGAGCGTCAGTGCCGATCCGGTGCACCACAGCTGAAGCTTTACTCAAAGTCTCCGACGTCGAACCAAACTTATTGAACATTTGAATCTTCCGATCAAATCCAATTCCGAAATTCAGAGAACAGACTTTCAGCTGAAAGAGAGAGACAGACGATGAAACGAACTTTTCAGAAGAGAAGCCTTGTGTTTGGATGATGGAATAACTTTGTCCAGAATTTGGATTGGAGTAAACCCGTAGTGGATAAACCAGATCTTACTTTTCAGATCCTAAACCGGTTTGAGAACCCGAATAAAGCCCATCAAGAATGGGCTCATAATAAAACCCTAAACCCATCTTTATATTTATACGCTAAAGTCGCCGTATTCTTCATCGTTGTTTCTGATTAAATTTTCTCTGATTTTCCTTCTGTGAATGGTTTCCCGGAAAATGAATCTGGAATTTTTTTGTGTGAGTTTTGTCTGAAAGTTCAAATCTTTGTGGGCGATGATTAAAAAGAGAGAGGCTTGAGTGGGGAGTGCGAACAAAACTCTCAAGGGATGGAGGAAAAAAAACTCAAATCGAAATCGAAGGAGAAATAACATGTTTTTTTCCCTTTTTTGATTTAGGGTTCTTTCTTTCATCCCTATCCCTCGATGACGGTCCTTCCAAGTTACACTTGATATGAGCCCTTTTACTATATACTTTCGTTAAATTGTTGTGTTAGATTTGGTGTTCTTAACCTGAATCTGTTCCGGGGAAGAAAAAAATATTATAACTTTAAACGAAGCAAAAGAGAATGATTCCATAAATTGAAGTGGAAAATGTCGGTTAATCTATAATTCAAAATTTATGAATAAAAGTATAAAGATAGCAACAAAATTATCAATTATGAAAGTAACTGGATCATATGGCAAAACTGAAACACCACCATTATATGAGAACATAACAGAAAAGGATTTGCAATTTGATTCAGACCATAATCAAATATATGTTGCCATTGCATCATTTTGACATCTTATAACTTACATAACACAACCACCCTATTGGTAAGGATGAGGATAAAGAGTTTTAGGGTACTTAATTAGAATCCTTGCGTTTTCTTCCGAGTATTGAAGCTCTCTGGAATCTAGGTCCACCTGTTCTCCATTTCTTGAATGCTGTCATCGACAAATGTGCTGCTTCATACACTTCAAAAAGAAACACAAAAACAATAAGAGATTGTTAATTTTGGTACAAGCTTGAGATGGTTAAAGCTAAATTCACTATCATGGAGTTAGAAACAAAAAGGCTTACAGTTTGTTTCTTCTTTTGTTAAAAACGACAAGTACTTGGAAGCTGTTATGTGAGCTGCTGTGTATACTTTTGTTAGTGCCTCTTTGTATCTGATCTTAAACGCAGTGGATAGCAAGATCCCGAGTGTTCTATCTGTAACCCTGTTTTAGACCAAAAACCAGTATGATTACCACAACAAAGATTTGAACAAGAGTTTTTGTAAAATAATCTGGATTTCATCTGCTTTGCAACGTATTCAACTTGCTTGATATATTCATGCTCGGTTCACAGTTAAATCTTGCTTAAATAGCTATCTCTCTCAAGGCTCATAAAGCAAATTGACACCAGGAAAACTAAAGTTTTGTTCTTGAAACCAAGAGATAGGACAACATCGAAAGTGGACAAGTCTTAAAGGAACTCACAGTGGCTCTAACTTGCATCCAAATTCATAAAAGTATGGACATCGCGATCTAAGATCGACGTATGCTGCATCAGCCTGAACTTCAAGCCTCGTCCTGCATAAAACAAACAAAGCCATGAGACAGACTACAAGGCAAAAGAAGTAAATGCTTAAATGCCATCTGAAATTCCAACCATTTCATGGAGGCAGAAGAACAAAAGAAATACATCATGCATAAGAAAAAAGCAAATTGACAAACTAGATTTTTTCGATCTTGAAAATACATCATGCCAACATTACAGTAAACCTACAGAATGCTTACTTTTGGTCGAAACAGGGAGGAAGGTTTATGGTAACAGCTTGTCTCAAGTGCAACTCATGAGCAAGCCAGAAGGGAAGTTCGACTTTAGAGCCTTGTTCAGCCTGTTACATAAAACTCATATCAGAAAGGAAAATATGAAATATCCATTACAAATTTTGCACCAGGAATGAGAACACTGACACAATTTGTTTCTGCACTTGGATCAATAGTCACTCCGTTTGCTGTTTTATGGAACAAAACCGGTACAAACTGCAAGAAGGTAACAATAGAGATCAGCTTTCTAATTTAATAAGAGAGCCTCAAGCAAAGCTATTGGAGAAGAAAGGTGACCTCTTCCTCTATAAGTATGTCATCAATGTCAAAATACTTGGCCATTCTCTAAGGCTGGCTCCACACCACCTTACCCTTGAGATTTAAATTCGCGGTCTGCTGCGAGAGTTAAAAGCAAACCATAAGAGCACTCAGAAGCCAACCTCTTAATAGATTGCCAAACTCAAATCTGAGATTTCAGATATACAAACAATTTAACAACTAGAGAGTTTAGAACAGTAACAGTGAAGTTCAAAATGCCAAAAACCTCTCCTATAGCTAACACAATGGCCGTTAAATCTACTCAATTCAGTAAGTGAATTTGTACACTCACAACGATCGATTCTACGGAACAATTTTGATTCCGACTAAGCTAGGTAAAGTTTCTACAATAGAACGAGAAACGAATTAGGTCTACCGATTGAAATCGACGCGAAGCTTAGAGCAATGGGGAAAAACTTACACAAGAGGAATGCAGAAGCACAATTTGTTGAATAGGGGAATCGAAGAAGCCTTGCGTTGGAGGAATCAATTGCGAGAAAGAATTCGGGTCACTCGATTACCGAGTCAAATTTTATAGGATCAGTGGGTAGACAATTAAAAAAAAAAAAAACTATTATCAAGTAGAAATGAATTGGTGGGAAATAAAACTCTAACAAAGATTTCTAAAATATATTTTTAGTGTGAAAATAACCAAATTTAAGTTTGTGATTTTTTTTTTTAGTTTTATATTTTCTTAAATTCAAAGCAAATTCACAGTTGATATAAATTAATCTTTTTGCATATCAAACTAAATCGATTCAACTTGATAGATTTTAAACAAAAAGATATAAATTAATTTTAGTTGAATGTTATTAACTCATTTACATGCCAATGTCTTCGAATATATAAGCTTCATGGTACTACTCAAGATACTGTAGTTAAATTGTCATAACACACTCAGTGTTTATAACTTACTCGAGAAAGATTTGCATGAACTAAGATCATTGTGTTACCCTATTGAATATATGATTTAAAGTTAATATTGTAGCCAAATTTTTCATACTAACAGAGAAAATAACAGAAGAAATTTAGTATAAGTGGTAAACTATATAATGAAATTTGACATTACAAGCAAGCCATATCATTTTAAGAGCTGCGGGCTGTTTACAACTTTTTCAACTGCCACTTCAGCTTCTCTTTTCTCACACTCCCCTATATTACCACACCACCTCCCAATTACACTCCAAATCACAGAAAAAAAGAGTAATAGAAAATATAAAGTCAAAGATGTTCAAATTGAAAGTGGAGCTTCTTGTTGTGTCTACCACTTCAAATGTTTCGATATCCTCAATTCACTTTAGACCCTGAAATTCTTTCCGACAAAGGTTTGTCCAAACTGCCAGTTCGAAGGAGCGATGTTCCAAGAAGTAGAAGTTCTACGGTCACTGGCTGTGACACGGAAGGAAAGTGACTGACCAACGAGAACAGCATTAGACTGCCAGTTTTGTCCCCAGTTCCTAGTTAAACTCATCCAACCAGTCTTTGAACCTTTCACGCTCGTCCTCAGGATATCTCCTGCTCCGGCCACATTCGTGATCAGCACCAAGTTGAAGTAACGATGACCGTTGATCGTGAACCTTATCCCTCCACTCTTCCTACATGCCACCCTATAGAAAACCCACATTTCTCAACCTTAGCAAGTTATTTCATTGCAACTTCTTTACCAATAGTAAGCTATATATACGAATGTTTAATCCTTATAAATCAAACGATCGTATCGAAAAAAAGAAAAACTTATTATAAAACAAGTAACCTTTAGGATGATTAGAAATAATCTGTGGAATTAGTAGTTTTTTACCATCATTCCATACTAAACTCATTTAACTTTGGTTACTATTTGTTCATTTAAATCTAAGACTCGAAAACCGAATAACCGAACAAAACTGTTTAATTGGATATGTCAAGTATACCTGCGGTAAGATATGGGAACAATGCCGGCGCGATACTCAGCGATCTTGAGGAAAACGGGCATGGCTAGGTCGAAATGAGAGCGTGGCGGGTTGCACCAGCCGCCATTGTCGCTAGGCTGGGCTAAGTTTGGCGGGCAAAAGTTGGTTGCGGTTACGAAGACAGAAGGATTACCCGGGTGACACCATTTAGGATCATTGACACATTTGATTTCGAAGCATGCGCCGCAGCTTTGGCCACTGTTGAACAACGCTGTGCTCAGCGCCGCCGTGTTTGTTCCGTATCCTTGGCTATACAGATTCCCGTATCCACACGCGCCACCTAAAACACAAAAGAAAAATGATATTAAGAGAAAAACAGAGTGCTCTGTTTTAGAGAGTTGGTATAATGATAAATGAAGTATGGTTCTTGAAATTTGTGTTTAAGGAGAGTGGACTGACCCATTGTTCCGGAAGCATCGTTGCCACCGTAGAAAGTGGCGTGAGCGGTTTGCCAAGAGCCGCCTGAGTAGACGCCAGGGACTCCGGCGTCGGTGAAGCTCAAGAGGAGAAAGAGTGAGAATATGGTTAAGAGAATCATTGGATTGATTGCCATTTTGGTGAATATTTGTGATGGAAATTCAGAAATGATAAGAAGATTGTTAGACTAGAAGGCTAAGTGAGGAACTTGAGGATGGTGGAAAATACACTTGTGAAGATCGCTATTTATATTGGTGGAGAAACCTCCAAAGTTAGAGAAAGAGATATTATTGGCCGAAATTAGTATTTTCTAGACAAATTATTTAGAAAATAGATGGTGAAAATATAGGTTTATAACCGTTTGTATTTTTTAGCAATGAGTGTCATAGTTAGGGGTGTCAAGTTGGTTAAACCAAACCAAACCAACCCATATCCATATTGATTTAGTGTTTAATGGTTAATGAATCAATCCAATTCATTTAGCAAATGGTTTGGATTAACCCATAACTCATTTAAATGAGTGGATTAATGGATTTAATGAGTTGATCCATAACATAGTTTTCTTATAATTTAAATCCTAATTAATTGATAATTAGTAACTATCATGTTACCACCACCATCATCATCACTCCATCATCATCTTCATCACTCCATCATGATCAATTCACCACCACCATCATCATCACCATCACCATCACCATCACCATCATCGTCGTCGTCGTCGTCGCCGTCGTCGCCGTCGTCGTCGTCGCCATCGTCGCCGTCGCCGTCGCCGTCGCCGTCGTCGTCGAAATACTTGTAACTATGATATTGGTTCATAAATTGATCACAAAACGACGACCAAGGACTCCATGAGTGACGATGAGGGATTCGAGTGTCAGTGGCTTTGCCGGTGAACGGCGTTGTTGGCTTCGTCGTTTAACGTTGTCGATGGATTTGCCGGTGAAACCATAAGATTGAGAGGGATCGACAGTGAGAGATTTGACGCCGAGAAAGATCGATGGTTAAGCGATTTAAGAAATTATGTTTATTTCGGTTTACTAAAATCGGTTTAGTGATTCAATTCGGTTATATTTGGTTTACATATTTGATTCAATTATATAATTTTTATTGGTTTGGTTATGGATAACCCAGTAATCCATTTTAAACCAAACCATTTCAATCCAACACATTAAACTCATTAAACCATTTAATCCATTAATCCATTAATATCCAAATTTTCAACTCATTAGATCCATGAGTTGGATTGGTTTGGATTGATCCATCAATTTTAAACCATTTTGACACCCCTAGTCATAGTAGAGTCTTTTTTATCCGATTAACTCTGGGATCTATTAATAATATAATATGAGATTAACTTCAAATTAAAATAGTTAATCAGAAAATGTCCAACCACGCACGAAATTGAATCTACTGCTAAGATATTATTGATAAAAATCATTGATACAATATAAACTAACAAATAATTAGTTCGTTCTTGAAGCAACGATGATGAAATAGCGAAACAAACATACGTAATAGAGAAAACATTTGAGTTGACATCCTATTACATGTTGTTGACTTTGTCTTTTTTAGTGTTCATAAAATAATTTCAAAGTTCTACGAAAAATATGCATATGTATAATTTCTGCGATGGTTAAACAAAAGTTAATGTTTTCGACACTTTTCAAATTAATACATTGATACTTAGGTACATACGCCGTACGCGGTACGTCTACATAGCCAACTTTTGTCATGCATGATGCATTTATACAAATCGAGTTATTTGTTAGTTTTATTTTTTATAAAATTATTACTTTCATGATAAATATATATCAGAAATTTCTATAGAAATCCATTGCAATATCTTTTTTATCAATAAAATGCAAATCAAACTAGAAGCATATGAAAAAACTACACTAGAACCATATAACTGATATTTTTAAAAATATGTATGTATAACTACTATAAAAATGATTATGAAAATGTTAATATTCAATTCATTGGGATAGTTTTCATAATTAAAAATAAAATAAAATAATCATATGTGGGAAAATACTCAAATAGAAGTGAGTGAAGCATGAGATGGAAATTAAAAAAGAGGAAAACAGTTAGGGGCGGTGACGGTGGAAGAGCATTAACGACATTTGGTGATGACAAAGCAAATCTATGCACCAACCATATCTTGTATATCTGCCCCGTCATCCACACCAAGCAAAAAATATACATACGTGTTATGTTAATTAATCAAAGTTTATAGCTTCTCGTGGTTACAGATTTTTCTTTCTTTTTTGGTAGATATGATAATGTGAAATAACTGTAATTCATAAGTCGTATCTAGTGTTGTTAACATTAAAAACTAAGATACATTTTACATAACATAGTGTATATATACGTGTAATTAGTGACGTGTATATTTTTTTTGCCAAATGCACATGAACGCATACGTACCCACTTGCATGTGAATTTATTATCTACCTCTACTCTCTCCCGACGATTTCTCGTCTTTTCATTTATTTCATTCTTAATACAAAACAGTTTTCATTTATTTTGTTATGTATATAGATGCCAATTCTCAATTTTTCATCTCCAACTAACAAAACAACTTGACGATCGATGTGCTAAAACATTGTAGTGCAGGTCCGTGTGTATTGAATGGTGTCACAGTCTATGGAAGTTGCACATTAATGTGGAAACGTATGTCGAACAAATATAAAGTACAGAAATAGATCTGACACACTGCTCCAAAAGGACTAGGGCATGTACGGCGTACGATCATGTATTTGATCACCTGACAATGAAAACATGATAGCACAACCCAAAAGTTCCAATCTGATATGATATATGAATCCAAATATATGTCTTCAGAAATATCGATTCATTTCATATATATTAAGCGTAAATGACTTGGCAGATTTAAATCAAAGATTTGTGAAGGAATCTTTGATTTACATTAAACATGAAACATGTTGTTTTGACTCGAGAAACGTAACTTAGAACCTTTGTTTTGGGGAGAAAATGATGTATGTGCTTAGTTAATTAATAATACAAAATGTTGAAATCATGAAATTATAATGTCAATTACCACAAACATGTACATGCGCAGTAATTACTTAGGCTTGGAATACAAGTAAGTATAGATTGCTAATTGTGAACTCCAAATCAAGCAATACATGGAATCATACAAAATGATTTACAAAGGAACCTCTGAATTAGCTTAAACATGATGACTTTTATGTCTTAAATTAAACATGATCCTATATATGCTCGATCCAAATTCGAACACTATAAATGCATAATATCATGGACAACGGATGAGATAACATATGAAAAAAAATTAGAAATAGCTAAAAGAATAATTTTATAGACAAAAGATGAAATCAAAAATGTAAAATAAGACGAATTCAAGTTCATGATATATATAGTATTGATATCTTGAACTTTTGGCAAAACTAAAATTAAATCTGACCCACACTCACTCTAACATAAACAGATTTCACTAGATGATTTACAGCCTGGATTTGATAATTATTATTTTATTAAGTAAAAATAATAAATTAACTAAAATTATGTTGCACTATATTCACTACAATTTTTCCCCATTAAAAAATCTTTTTGCTAATTTCAAAAAAAAAAACAATCTTTTTGCTGTATGTAAAAATAATTTTTTTTGTTAGTTTTCCTTATGTTTATTTGTATACACGGTTAGACAAGACCGGGCTGACCCGGAGATTCGGATCCGTATTGACACCGTGAACCCAACCAACGACCTCGGCTAAAACCCTTTAACAAACAAAAGAAACCCTAAACCCTTTTTGACTTCTCTCTGCATCTTCGTTCACCGCCGCGTTCTCAGTCTCAATTCCTCCTTCTCAAATTCCTCTGTGCTTTCGATTCTAACCGGTAAAATTTATCTTCTTTTACTTCTCCTATGCTCGTATTTGGAGGAATTGAGCAAAATAGAACCCTAGTTGTTTAATTGTCAAATTGTAGATTGAGAATCCGAATTTATCGACATAGTTATTGAATCTTTGTTTCCTCGAGTTGATACCTAGAAACCCGTTTGCAGTCGCAGTAAAATGGGTAAGTTGGGGAAGAAAGCTAGGAAATTTGCCAAGAAAAATCTCCAGTCTGTTGAGAAACGAAACAGAAAGCTGAAGCCTTTTTTCAAGAAGAAATTTGCAAAGAGTAAGTTATTCTTCGTTTTCACTTCTCTTATGTAGTCAGCTTTATAATCATAGATAGATGCTGCTCAATTTCTTCTTTTTTTAGTGTTGGAATCTGATGTTATTGGATATATAATGGTTTTGCAATAGTTGAAAGCTTTGATTTTGGTTGTACTCTGTATCGCTGATTGTTTAGAACCAATGTTAACTTTCTGTGGTTTAGGAAATGAGCGTCACCAAGTGGGAGATGAAGAGAAGAAGAAGGTAGAGCAACAGCCTAAGAAGAGGTAAGAGTTTTGTGTTGCTGTACAGTCCTGCTACTCAAACATCTGTGTAGTTATCTGTTTGAGTTTCTTGCATATGCTACTTCTCTGTTCTTACTTTATTTAAGTAATGTTTGCTCCATTTCAATTTTTCAATGGAAACATACCTTTGTGTTTCATTAGTTTTTCAGAAGCTTGATAGCTCGAATATTAGTTATGCATTGGGTGAAATGATTTCTCGCCTATGCGTTTTCAGATGTCAAGAAGAAGAATTTCAGGATATATCAATAGATGCAGTATTCGGCAAGGATGATGATGAAGTTCTCCGCGATTGTGATTCTGATAGTGATGGATATCTGGATGAGGTATTAAACTTAGTGTTTGGTGATATTTATTTGTGATGGTAGCAAGTATTCACAGTTTCTCTTTATGTTCAGGACTCTGCAGTTGTAAATGGAACACAAGGTAATTGCTTTACCCTGCTTTGTTTGGCTTCATGATATTGCCTTTATAATTCCTTCCTTCATGGTTTAACTGAATAGATAAAATTTCCAGGTGAAATCGGTGATACTGAGATGTCGATGCAGAGCAAGGAGAGTCTGTCAGAACTTAAGAAACAGAAGAAAAAGCTGGCTAAATTGAATGAAAAGGTAACAGATACTTGTATTCTTAAAATGTTGATAAATGATGGCAGTTATCATACTTTGTCAGATTTTGTTCGCATGCTCTTCTTGTTTATACAGCAAAGTAACATTGAAACTGTCGATTATGCCATGCAGTTGGTAGATGAAGCTGACTCAGATATAA